CCCCCTCCACCGCCGAGTGGCGGGGAGATGTCCGCAGCCAGCACCACACCGAAATTTTCGCAAAGGCAGAACACCTGAATGCTCGTCCCAGCCGGCCGCACCGTCGCCGTCGTGGCTAGGTGTCTCGCAGGGCTCGGGTAAGGTGGAGAGCAATGCCAGCTGTTAGTGTCTTTGACACGGAAAATCCGGAGTGAGGCCAGAAATGGTACATAGGGACGGGTAGGCAGCGCAAATCTGGACACAAACCCAGCCAACTGAAAAGAGCGACAGACCAAAAACCAGCAGAAACGCGGAGGTGAATGCCTTTTGCAGCACCAAAGGATGCCATGCAAAACATATTGATTTAATTAAGCCGAACACGGTAGGCGGAGGAGAAGCCAGGCAAGGGGACTGAGGGAAGGAAATTGGTTCACAGCAACCGGAACCTCATGGAGGGCAGTGAATTCATAACCAGGCATGGAAACAGGCGTCAGATGTAAAAGAAAAGGAAGTAACTGTTGCTTGGGTTACCATTTTAAATGTGTGACAGCAGCATTTTGAGAAAAAAACAAATATAACACAATGAACTCTTGAAAAGAGAAGATTTAAATGAGCAGTCCCGTTATTGAGGATACGTTCCAGCTTTAAGCGGCACAAAGATCGTCCAAAACTTGATTTACAAAAGTTCCGGCTGATCAACTTTTGACAATCGGGCAGCGAGAGTGGACCTACGCAATTTCAGAGGAAGCGCCAGTGTCTACCTGGGAAGGAGGGAATAATTGAAAGGCCCTCCGGCCAAGGCTTCTGCTTTGGGTGTTCCACTTGTGAACGCACAGGCTTGCGGGCTAGGAACCACAGACACAACAGGTTATGTTGGGGAGAGGCCGCGACACTTGCGGAGTGGCCGGGGCAGCACAGTTGCTTTGAACAGCGGTTCTTGGCTACAGCTGTGCTGCGTGGCACCGGGACTGGGGGAACGCGCGCGGAATTGATTGCATTTGTTCTGACCGTGAGCGTAAAGGGAGGGCGGATGAAAGTGCCATGGGTTAACTAGCATTTAGGTGCCCTCGCGCAGAAGAGTCAGAACTGCCCAAGAAGCGGTCGGCTGCTTGCCGGAATCGGCAGACTGCCACCACTGATCAGACAGACACCGGACACCCCAAAATTGAACGTAAAACCCAAAAAACACAGAGGTGACACAACACAGAAGCTGGGAAAGATCAGCTTCGGCCGAGAAGCCAAACTGAATGGCCCCTGAGGCGCCCATCCTAGAGCTTGGCAGGACTTCGCATTTTGTGGTTTGCGAGGTTTTTAGCGTCAGCACACGCTGGGGAGCCGACCAGTGGTCCCTTGGCTTCGTTGGGGAGCGCCCGCCGGGGTTGGGAAGCTACCTGCGCGCCAGATCAGAGTTGGTTTGATTGGGGGCGCAGAAGACAGTTTTTACCCGCAGGGTTATTGTGGGCGGAAGGGTGCCACGGCTTGTTGCGAAGAGCCGGTGTTATGCTGTCCCAACGCAGTGGCCTGCTTGAGAGGGACCTCAGATGCCAACACACACCAGTTCAGCAGAGCAACTTTATACAGCAACAGCGTGGCGCATGGCAAAGGGCGTCATTTTGGAACAAATACAGCTTTGATTGCAAGACGAAAAAAAGGACAGTAATGTTTTTAAGATTTCAAGAAGAAAGACTTGTTTCTTTTTTGTTGAGGTTTTTGCTTGTGTAGAGCATTGAAGGGCACTTCTTGTTTCCCAAAAAAAGAAATGAAAGACCTTTTTCTTCAAGATGTATCAGCCCTCTTCTTTTAGCCTCTTTGTTGTTCCACATTACATTCACTGGGACACTTTGGGTTTTTCATTTCCATTTCTTTCTTAATTGCTTCTAACTGAACGCAACACTTTCAGCTAATGGGTGCAAACCCAAGACCAAAGTTGGAATATTAGGGCACCTAACCACTACTCCCTCGCACCTGATAAGTCTTTCATTGCCACCTACAACTCATTTGCCAAGCATAATGTAACCTTCACAGCAACTTCTTCCTCAGATTACCACTTCAAACAATACTCTGTTCATCCTATCCTTTCTTTACAGTCCACATGAGGAACTCTACACGTTCACGCTTTGCGAGACGACACTCAGCCTGCCATCGCCATCCGCCACATACATCCCAACCCAACCCTCATCCTATTATTCCTCGCTCACCACACCAGCTGGTCCTTCTCCCTAACTGATTCCCGCTAAAATGCTGCAGGAGGTGGAAACAAATGCTAACATGTCCATCATTCTTGAAGAAATTACCCACGTAGGGCTTAATGTAGAGAAACCGTCCCCCCGCTCTCTTATATAACTCCCACCTCACCTCCCACCCTTCTGCCCAAAATACTTTTATTTCTTTATATGAAACAGCTTAACATCACCTGCACACGATTTACGCAACTCTAACAACCCCTAATCCCTCAGCACACGAGTCACACCAAACCTCAGTAAATCTCGCTCTACTACCAATCCAATCCATCGCACAACTGCCTCTGGCAAGATCTGTTCCTCTTCTGCTTCTTGTACTACTCTTCTCTCGCTATGCAACATCTTGACAGACCAACCATCCGGCAACCATGCACAACCCACCAGACAGCTCGCAGCACAATTCACTCAGCCCGCTACCCCTTGATTCCCTAATAGCGCCAAAAACACAGACAACACTTTTGGAGGCTATAGTACGGGTAGCCCTTTATCAACAGTACAACTGCACATAAGATCCGCTCAGATTAAATTAAGGAACCAACAGTAGGCATATAAGTGGCAAAACTACTCTAAGAACTTACTTAAGGTGTTTCTTTGAGCATTATTTACGAAAAGTGCAACATCTTTATTTGCACCAGAACACAGCAGTTACACACACTGACTGACTTGCTAAACTCATCCTCCTGACGCATAACAGACATTTGAGTATCATGATTATTTAATTTCCTCGTACTCTGCCTCCAGCCTCTACAGACACTCACACTCGTCAGAAAGAACAACTCAACTCAATGGATTCTGTTTTCCCTTGTGATTACATACACTGAGCACAGTAAATTGTTCTGTGAGCACTACATGAATTACACCTGAGATGAACAGGTAAGGGGCTAAAGTGTAGATACCCCACTCCCCCCCTTCTTTTATCAAACTCACCGATCCATTTGCTCAAAATGGATCTTTATTTTTATACTGGAAAACTCATAAACTCACCTGCAACACGTTAGCAACTCTAACAATAACCCTCACGTACAAGTCAAAAATTGTAAATCGTAATAAATCCAACGTCATCAGACTGGCTTTGGCACGACTTGTTCCTCTTTGCTAGCTTGAATTTTAGAGAATCTCAATCTCCATCAATCTGCTGTGTGAATAGATTGAGTCACATAAGTGAGTGCTTAAACTTGACAGTTGTTCCAAAAGATTTATGGTTTGCTCAGAGAGGAAAATGTAATCTCCCTATGTATTCTGAGCAAGAAACAAATGAGCAGCACAGAGCTTTTCATTTGGTAAGCTGCCCATACAGTAAGTCATTAATTTCCAGTGAAGTGAAGTGAGCAGGCTGGCAGAGAACTGCCTGGCAACTGGAAATGGGAAATGGACTCAATCTTGTTGAATTGTATCTCATCCACAAAGGAAACTTTAAATAAAACCTACATTTTGAAATTGTCCTTGAATAAAGTGATATATGGTCCAGCTGCTGCATATGTCCAAATGTTTAATAAAGTAATTCTGAATTTATTGGACTCACAGCCTATCAAACAGTGTCGTTCCAAAATATTGATTTCATTTTAATTGTTTTCTTAATATCCTTTTGAAAATAGCTCTTGTGGGAATGTTTTAAGTCCAGACATCTTTATCTAAATGCACACTTTGTGCCTTTAATCAACACCAAGGACTAACACAAAGCAATGTCCTACTATATATTCATGATATTCTAAAACCAAAGATTTATATTTTGGCAAGAGCTGAATTATAGAGCTGCTCTCATCATTTATCAGTTCAAACATTGTATGCAGGCAAAATTGGCAATTTCACTATTATCTCACCTGTAGACAATACAAGCAGTCTTCTGGCAGGTTGAGCAGTTTTTGAGATCCTGTCCGGTTTTGTAGCATCGCCAACTAGGATAACAGAAAGTAAATTAAATTGCATATGGTAAATAAGGAAAACTTCCAAAACTCTTATCCTTTTAGATTTAAAAGTTAATATTCTCTCCACTCATCCTCTCTGTCTGATATTAATGCAGGCTGCTGTTGGCAGCAATGAGCTGTATAACATGCATTATGTCAGACATCAGTGGGTTATTAGGAGTTGGTTATTCTGAAACATGACCTCAGAGGCAGTCACAACTTATTAGCACACTACAGTGGATGAGAATGATTGACAGAGACACATTGCCAGAAGGCAGTTTTTAATTCCTGTTATTTGTCCCAGAAGAGTTATATGGCTAAATAAATCTCTCTGAGACGTGCCCCCTTGAAATGCCCAAGTAGGTTTCTGTCACACTCAGGCACACATTCACAGGCCTGTTTGCAAACTTGTAACAATGTTAAAGCTCCACATCATCACACTACGATCTCTGTTTTATAGCACATTCATAGTGGCCACAGAGCCAGCTTTGTAACATTTTAACAGTATATTCGCTTTCAAAAGGCGTTTGTGCAACTTCTTACTTTATATGTAATAAGTGGTCTAAATCATAATTGGTTCCTCTTGTTCAGGCTGTTTTTCCAGTTAGGATACTAGTTCAATGTCAGCAGAAAGTTAATAATCGATGATTTGCTGCAAGGAACATCAACTTCATCTATTTTACATTTTGAGATTATGTTTTGAAGGGAAAGCAGTGCTGTTTATATACGTATTGTTCGATGTATCAGACAGAATGACCATATATGTGACAAATGCCATTATTTGTCACTCTGTTATTCTGCAACGATATGGGGTGTAAAATAAAGGTGTCCAACAAATCTGTGCCTCTTATGTAAATTAAAAAAATATGTCTCCCCTATACAGTGTGTCCTCAGATATAAACTATAAGTAGGTATAACAGCCAAGAACCTGGTTTGTTATTGCCATCACAGTAACTAGTAGTTTCTTCACTAAACTCTAGATAAATAACCATACATATAATTACACAAACACACATACAAAATTTTCAGATTGCGGTTTTTGCTGATGAATTACAATGTTACTAAGTGGTTCTGGTAAATGCAAGTGATGAGTCACGGGAAAGTCAAAGATCAGCACTGCAGGATGGCTTTTAAAGTAATTCCCTGGACCAAATTCTGGCAAACAGCTATACCTGTTATGGGACTGAATATAGAGTATATTAATAAATCATATCTGACCCCACCGCTTTGGTGACGTAGTTAATGTTTAATAAGGAATAATTATTGCAATTCTATCACAAGTGAAGTACTACCACAGGCTGGTAGGGCAGGTGAAATGTCTGAAGTCATTTCACCTACCCCACCACACTTACAAACACATTCAGACACACACACACACATCTCCTTACCCACTGGTGGGAGTGTGGCATGTCTCCAGGTCATGGATAATGTTAAGCAGAGTAGTGATCCTGTCCTTGTTGGCTGCCAGGTTGGCCTCCACAGTCTCAAGCCTCTGTTGTAGGGCTGCTGATTTGCAGCACTGTGGGGAAGGAGGCAGCAACAGGGCTGCATCAGCTGGGTGGGCGTGAGCCAGGCTGGTGTCCTCTGGGCACGGCTGAGGGGGAGCAGGGCTAAACTTTGAATCCGGCTTGACGATTGCCTCTGCCTCGCAGGACTGGGGGCAGGGAAGGGATGCCAAGTGCATTGTTGATGACGGCAATATGGAATTACATTCAGGGCCTGTGTCCATACAAAGCTCTCCCTTGCCGTTAAAAGGGGCTGGTGCAGTGAAAGAAAGCTCCGGACTTGTGTGTGCTTGTGGTGAAGTATCTAATTCAGAGTTTTGGTGGACTGAGGATTCTGTGATGGGAGCGTCATTTGCTCTAGCATTTTTCAGGGATGATATAATAGGTTCACAGTTTGTTTGTGCTATGACAGAGGGTGTTGGGTTGTTGGGATGTGCCTGTTTATCTGCATTGGATTTAAACTTAATATTTGCATGCCTGACTGATATTCCCAAGGCAAAGTTTTCTGTATTTGAATTTGTCTCCTGGGCTGTTTTTACTGGTGGGCATGTAGCACAGTGTCCCTCGTGTTCTGTTTCTGTGTATCCTTGATAATGTGCAAGTCTTTGTTGTTCTGTGTTTATGCAACCCTGCAGACAAGAGCTGCTTGACTTAATTAGGGAAATGTAATTCTGAAGGCTAGTGACCTGTGATAGATTTGAATTTTCACGGTCTTTTGACTCATACACAACTAATTCATTGATTAGATTACCATTGAGTTTGTCTTTATCAGTATGCAATTCGGTGTTGGGAATAATGGTTGATTTAGGATTGCTTGCATCACTGCCTCTGTTATGATTTTTTGACACATTTAGCAGCTCAAATAAAGCAGCTGGAGTTGTTTTGGAGTTGTTTTCCTGATTTGAAACAACGCCGCACAAACCAGATTCGTTATTGGTTTGAGTTCTGCAGTCTGTTGCTTGTGTGTGACCAGGTTGATTTGTGTGGTGCGCTTCATTACGACTGAGTTCTTTGCTGTGTTGTGTAGTGTCTGCTGATTGAAGTGAAGTTGTACCTGATGCACAGACATTCCTTTGGTTTTCTGACAATGTAGATAAAGATGAGGTGGTTGTGGATGTTGAGTTTTTCAGATTGATGGAGGAGTTCCTGAGGGCAAAATGTTTGTATAGAGTGCTGTTACCTGTATATGTGGAACTGGGAGCTGCATTTGAAAGCAACCTAGCTCTTGAGTATAGGGGTTTTGTTGCATTAAGAGTTGCTGTAGAAACATGAAGTGTTGGTTCAGAATTTGAGTAGTCAGGTTGAATTAGGTGAATTTGTGTAGCCACAGATGTATGTTTAGTGCTGATATGGGCAATTTGATCTGAATTAGAGTTACGATTCAAAGTGCTCTGTGGGACAATACTGCTGAGAGGTGGATGTGGCGTAGTTGTGGGTGGTGTATTAGCAAAGGTGGGCAAACCAGCTGAGTTCATTACAGTGGCAATAAAAGATGCTGTACCTGGGGAGACCTTTGAGGACGTCTTTTCCTGATTGGGTGAAGTACATGGGGGACTTGGAGGCTCTGTAGTTGTTTGTGGCTTATGAATGCGTTTTAATGCACTGGCTGCCAGTGGTAAGGTGGGACATTTAGGGGTCACTTGTGGGCTACCAGTTGTATTCGTTGCTATGTTTACTCTTGCTGTAAGCGTTGAGCGCCGGGTGCCTTGTTGAGCATTGGCAACTTTAGCAGTTATACTTTTAGTGGGCGTCAGTGTAGTATTAAAGGTAGTTGTTTTGTGCGTGTTGGTGATGGATGCGTTCCCAGGTCCAGAAGCTGTAGTGTACAAATGACAAGGTGGCGACAGAGTATTTTCAGGTGTAGCGTGTACAGATACACATACATTTTGAGGCACATTATGTGGTGTAGAGTTGTGTTGTGGTATTTTCAGGTGCTTAGGGTAAGTATGTGAATGTGGGTTGTTTGGTTGGGTGGCTGTGGCCATCTGTGGAGTCAACATGAGACTCGTAGGTCTAGGGATCTTACCATCCTGTGAAAGTTTTGCGAAAGGTTTTGTAGTGGAATTGTCTTGTCTTGTTTCAATAGTTGCTTTAGTGACGGTGATGGTTTTAGCATGTAGGATGGTTGTGGATTGTGTGGATGTTGCATCACTTTCAGCATGTGTCTGTGACAAAGTAACCAAATTGCCCCTAGAGTGCACTGGGCATGCTGGATGGGGTGTTTTTTGATATTTTAGTTCTTCGCTGAAATATAACAGTTGTGGATTGACTGTAATGTGTGTCCTTTTGTCGCTGTTTGTGATGCTCTCAGAAATTTCTTGATGGCTTGGTTTAATGTTTCTCTCAATATGGGGCATCTCGAAATGCGCTGTAGTCGACAGCGAGGTGAAGGCTGACTTTAATGGTTTCTCTCCAAGGCAGGCGTCAGCAGTAGCGCTTTTCTGGACCGAAGTGACAACTCCGGTGGTTACAGACTGTCTCCCGCCGCAATGGCTGCATATTTTTTGTGGCATACCGAAAGGTCGTGTAGCAGATAACAGCAGCGTCTTCCCAGACTGCTCTGCATAATGACCTTGCAGTCTGGTCTGGCTGCTGCCACGAGAGGTTGCACTCTTTACAGGCTCTGCTTCATCAGTATCAATGCTAATTCCGCCGATCGCCTCTGAATCAACCACGCTACCGTTGGTGTAGCGAGTAGCAGATTTTAACTTAGGCCTGACATTTGTTACATTCCCTTTAAAGTGTGGGTTTGTCTTGATTGCCCTGGCATAGCAATAAGTCCCACTACTGTTCTTCTGGCTGCAGGTCACATCCTTAGAGGCCTCACCTCCAAGTGCTTTGAAAGTCACTTCCTTTTTGGTCTTGGATTCTCCACTTCTCTGTTTTAAAATAGCCCTTTTCTCCTTGTCACTCTTTGTAAGCAGGAATATCTCCCTGTACTCAGTTGCCTTGGTAATATAGCTGTTGGATGTTAGAGTAATGTTATCTGATGGCGTATAGAGTGTATCAGTTAGTTGTACACTGTGCTGGGTAGGTGGTCTGCTTATCCCTGGGGACGTCTGAACACCAACGCTGCACTGAGGTCCCCACGTGTGCAGCAAGGCTCCTCCGGTTCTGTCGCCTCCCGTTGTCCTCCAACCACGCACTCCAACCAGGGCAGGGACACCTAAAACTGGAACCGGAGTTGTCAGGTCAGCCGCTCGTCTCCCCATCCCTTTTCTGACTCACTCAAAAGTCTGATAGGTCAAGAGAGCTGCGGAGTTTCCACACCATTACATCTGTCTAAAAGTAAGAGAGGGACAAGTTTACTGTGAGAGGCATTTGAGATGGTGATGTGAAAGAAATCCATGAGTAAGCAGGACAAGTTGAAACAATGCACAAAGCTAGAGCTGAGACAAGGAAGTGATTCAATGCTGCAGAAATGAGGGATAACTAGAGCTGTCAAAAATCAATTACAGATTTGAGACAAGACAAAAGAGAATCATGCTCTCATTTTTAAACTTTCCTGAAAGAGTATGACTGGGATATGAAATAGGACTGTCAATCTGTTAATGCTGATAATAAGGGGAGGCTGTTGCTGTGAAAACAAGTGTTCTATATTACATTAGCATTTCAAACATACTGCACAGATCCTCTTTCAATGTCTGACAGCGAAAAGAATAATTTATTTGAGGGATAAAATTCAAAACACAGCTCCCGTGGTGAACTCTCTCTCCTTTCTCACTGAAATGTTTGTCATAGCAAGCAGCTCCCACTCTGTTGTCCTCCACATTCAGCTCACCTTGGAAAGAGGCCATAATGTATACACTGATGCTACAGTATAGACTTCATTAAGCTTTATGTGCATTTAAGTGGAACACCCTTTCACAGAGGTGGCAGTTTGTGTGTGTGTGTGTCCATGGCACCCATGAATTCACATGTGCCAGTTTCCTCTTGTGTGCAGGAGGTCATTTTAATGATTTACGCAACAACAGTTCAGTAGTCAACAACGGGGCGATAATGTTTGGATTTCTGCATATGAGCAGGCATTTGATTACTATACGCTAGAAATTCAGAGTGTGAATGTGGTGCTTCGCAAGCTTTGATTTATGACATAAATTTCATGCAAACACATTCTGACAAGGCTCCCTTCAATCCTTCCTCCTCTTCATCCTCCCCAACAGCCTCCATCCAGAGATGTCAAAATTGTAAAAGGGACATTTAGTCACCTATTAATTTGGCTCTCGTGTCATCCAGTGTTACTTGAGCTCAGTCATGTGACCTATGTCTGTTGTCACCATCTAACGCTAAGTGACAACTGTCCTGCCCTGTTAATAAACCATTAAATCCCCCTTTACAGGAGAAAAATAAAGAAACATGTTTTCGCAGTGCCACACACTTTTTAAATGATCAGGACTAAAGAAAAGAGCTGTTTCTTGCTTCAGCAGAATTGCTACCTAATATGTGCTTTTGTGATTCTGTTAAGCAGGCATACCTGAGTGATTATTTGATCCTGCTGCAAGATGTCTTGTTTTCTTGAGTCCAAATTGTCAGGAGCTAGTTTTCCGCTTTCTGTTTTATGTCCTCGTGGGTCTTCAAGGTTTAAAGTGACTTTGTCTTCATATGTTAAATCCCCTGGATGGTAGAATTCAAACTCAAAGGAGTCTGCAGGCAGTCTGCAAATGCTTAAATTCTGAACTAATCTACCTTTTATTGATCAGGCATAAAGCCAAGCTGTGTCCTCATTGTATCCCCTTCTCCTCTTGTTTTGGTCCTGCTGCTCCATGCTCACTCCATAATCACAACACAGCAGTATGCTACAGTATGCTGCCCTCCAACACACTCTGTCCTACTCTGTCTTGCCTTTTTACCTCCTCCTCTCATCTCGTCGTCTCTTCCCGCCTCTTCCGTCATCTCTCTCCTTCTCTCAACCCTCGTCCCATCTCCTCTTATTTCTAGGCGCACTTACCCGCTCATTCCCAGTATTCATGTATCCTGAATCTAGCCGCGGGTTGGAGCAAGAGGAGGGAGAGAGAGAGAGGAAGTGACTTGCATCAGTGGGGTAGGGACTGTGTGTAAATTACCATGCAAGTTAAAAAGCAGGAAAATGCACTAACAACAATAGTAGTCAAATAGTAGTTGGACAAAGCAATGAAAAAACATAAATAAATAAAAGTGAGACAATGATTTTCCCCCAGCTCTATGCTGTATTTTTAAACATGAACAATTACAGTGTCTCAAGATCACTGCCATCAGGACATATTCATTTCAAACAGGTATGTACTCTCTGGAGTCACTTTATTGGCAACGAGTTGGTGAGATTTACATACAAATGGGTTTTATTGCTGTCTTACTCTTAAACAAAATGCTTCCAATTACCAGCACTAAGATAATCGCTGACATACTGTTACATATTATCTGG